CTGCGGAGCTGCACCCCGCTTTCCCGAAACTTGCACACAGCTGTTGCCACGGGGGACGCCTCCGCCTCGTTTTTAACCCTTGCCCTTGATGCAGGAGGTGCAGATCGGGGAGCACGAGGCCTTCGGTGTCCCGGCCCGTCCCTCCCCCTGAGGACAGCCCTGGTTTCACAGCTCTCCGCCAGCCCCGGGCGGGTTGCTGTGCCTGGGGACTGTGCAGACAGAAGTGTGTGCAGGCGCACAGCCGTCCTGGTGTGAGGGTCTGTGGATGGGTGCAGCTGGAACTGGGCGCTGGCCTCGCAGTCCTGGGGACGGGTGGTCTCTGGTGGAACCAGCCGACCTCTGAGACCTGAGGGGCTGTCTGCCGTCCGTGGGGGTTTGCTCTGAGTTCGTGGTGGTTAGGAGTAACACATTCTCCTCATTACCTGTGTTCCCAGCTCGAGTTGTACGGCTCTTGCCTTCTCTGTTCAAGTTTCTCATTTTGTAAGGACACAGCCGTTCTCTGTAGTACGGGAATGCTCTGAGGTATGAGAGAGAGTCGCTAAAGCGTTAGGGACTTGTCACTAAAATATAATGGCAAATAGAATTTATCAAATTACTACCGCCTAATTTTTATGCCATAAAGGTTGCAAGTATTACATAAATAATTACTCCTACTTAAAGTATTTTATTTAGTCTTCATTGATGCTACAAAAATCAAAAGAACTAAAGGGAGTGTGGGCTATTTTAGATTAAAAAATTACTTCAGTAGTTTGTAAAGAATAATTTAATAATGAGCCTTTGGAGATCATCTGGTCCAACCCCCTGTTCAAAGCAGGGTTGACTAGACCAGATTGCTCAGGACCTTGTCTAGTCAGGTCTTCAGTGTCTCCAAGGATGGAGATTCCACAGCCTCTCTGACCAACGTGTCCCTATGATCAATCACCTTCACAGTAAAACAAAACCAAACCAAAAAAACAGCCCCCCCCAAAAAAAACTGAAACAAACAAAACCCAGAAAACGCCACAGAGCTCCAGACTTGTGTTTAAAGGGAATTTCCTGTATTTTGGTTTATGCTCATCCCTGAGCCGTTTGTTCTCAAAGCTGAACAGTTCCGGCTCTGTCAGCCTCTTGGTACGTCAGAAGCTCCAGTCCCTTAATTATCTTTGTGTCCCTTTGCTGGACTTGGTCCTTCGTATGGATGTCTGTCTTGTCCTGGGGAGCCTATAACTGGACGCAGCACAGCAGGTGAGGTGCCAGCAGTGCTGAGCAGAGGGGAAGGATCCCCACCTTCACCTGCTGGTAGTGCTTTTCCCAGTGCAGCCCAGGATGCTCTCGAGCTGCTCTGCTGTGATGGCTCGCTGCAGGTCGTGTTCGGCTTGTCCACCAGGACCCCAGGTCCTTTACTGCAAAGCTGCTTTTCAGAAGGTTGGCCTGTAGCATTGCACGGGGTTATTAATGCAGGCCCAACACTGATTCATGTGATGAAGGGTTTGCTAAATGAATCCGCATTTATTATAGGGAGTTACTGCTTTTTCTCCTGTTTAAACATGTTATCTCTATTTGTGTGGCTCAAACTGAAAAAATTACTTTCAAATCTTTTGTGTGGGTCCAATTCTTACTGTTCTTCTCATGTATCAGATGATACAGGAAATCGACTTCGGTTCCAGCTGGAGTTAGAGTTTGTTCAATGTCTGGCAAATCCAAATTACCTCAACTGTGAGTACTTACAAGTAAATGCCAGGATCCTGAGGCATGAATGTAGTTTAATGGTGTGTATTACTGCTGGTAATGTTAAGCAGGGAGAGAGGGGGCTAAACAAAGAAAAGGGAATGGGTCTTTCACAGCATGAGGGTAGTCTGTAAATAATTTAATTTGTCTAGATTTCTAACAGGTAGATTTTTTTAAAATGCAAAATGTTTTATTGGTTGAAATGAAGAAAAATATGCATCTATCTAGTGGAGACAAAAATAAGTCTGTAGTTAAAAAATAATATCAAGTTAACAGTATTCCTTTATCTGAAAGCAGAATTTTACTAATGTTACTGATGGTTTCATACAGTACTATAGTGAATTCCCTTGAATTCCCTGCCAATTTTGATGCTACAGTCAAAATTTCCTGTTTCAAAAAGCTGTTCTCTTCCTTGCTGTTGTATGGAGGATACATATCGTAAGGGAGATGAGATTAATTACACCAAGTATGTTGACATAAGGTATATTTTTCCCTGTGCTTTTTTTTCATTTTGAATTACCAAAATTTGAATGCAGTTATAAAGTTTTGACTAAAGTGCCTCTTTGTATCGTTTTGTGAATACATATTCTTCAAGTTTGGCAGATTTTTTTCACGCATCCATAACTGACAATTCCTTATTTGTCATTTTATTTCAGTTCTTGCACAAAGAGGCTACTTCAAAGACAAAGCTTTTGTAAATTATCTTAAATATTTACTTTATTGGAAAGAACCTGAATATGCAAAATACCTGAAGTAAGTGTTAAAATCACTTAGGTTTCTGCATTTTAATGACTTAATGTTTACCTTCTATTATGTACTGTACAGCAGTGTGTCAGTGTTTGATTTCTGCCTGTAACCTTACCTTTGTCCTCCCCACTGTCTTTATATGCAACATCAGTTTTCCTGTTTCCACCAGTCCAGATGTAGCAAGAACAGACAAAATTATAAAACCAGGAATCTTCCTTTGGCAGCTCTATCTGCACTTTACCATTTGTTTAAAATGAAACCATTGAACATGATAGTACAAAACTGCTTCAGTTAGGCCAGTAAGTACATTCTAAGAGTGATTTTGCATTGTTCTTGCTTATGCAAAACAAAGGATGACTTTGCATTTTTGTGAGTGTGCACAATCCTTAGGATTTTTGGAGTAAAGTTCTTGGTTATGTTCTTTAAATGAGCTCTAGAAACAGATACTGTAGTTGTTATGTATTTTAGTAAAATCCAGACATTAGAAAAGGTTCTCTAAGCAAGCATGTATATCCTTGTTTCCTCCTCTAATACTGATGTTATTAAGTTACAGTGTGTGGAATATGTACAGTCTTAAGTGGTCCGATAGTTGAGTAAAGCACATACATGATAAAACTAAAATAATGAGCTGCAGTATTGGAAAATGCAGTTTTAGTGTACCTTGGAAAAACCTGTATTAAAGGATGTTTATTTTTAATGCAGGTATCCTCAATGTTTGCATATGTTAGAGCTGCTCCAATATGAACATTTCCGCAAAGAACTGGTAAATGCTCAGTGTGCTAAATTTATTGATGAGCAACAGATTCTTCACTGGCAGCACTACTCACGGAAAAGAATGCGCCTCCAGCAAGCACTTGCAGAGCAGCAGCAACAGAACAACACCTCTGTAAAATGAAAAGCACTTGGAAGAGTGATGATAAGGTGTACTTTGTGTCAGTTGAAGTATTTACAATGAACCTTTTTGTAAGTTTGGCTCTGGGTGTGTGTACATTTAATTTTTGATTTATCAATTGACTGTTTTTTTCCACCTTTTTTAAAGATAAAAGACTGATAAACACCTACAATTTATTTTGTAGCATGAACAATTTTCTAAGAGCATTCCTTACTGTAGTTATTGATTCCCCTTGATTTTGAAGACAAAACATAGCTTCGAGGGCATTGATATACAAGTATCTAACACAAAGTGTAGCTCAGAAGTCTGTTCTTAGGAGGCATTTTCCCTGGAAAATAATGATGTGTCTCAAAATTTGGCGAAGAACTCCCTCGTGTTCTACTTTTTACAACTGCGGGATGAGCAAAGTTGAAGTGATGATGCTGTGCAAAATCTAAATTGTGGATTTTTGCCTTGAAACAGCACCGGGCTATTACTTGGCATTTCTCTTTACCTGATAAACAGGTTGTTGCTGGGTGTCTTACAGAGTTTTCCTTACTGCCTATTTTAGAGAGAGAAATCAAAGTGTGACAAGACAAGGAGTGCAGGAGTGGAACAGATAAATAAAAATAAACTTTGCGGGTACTCAACAGAAGGAAATAGTCTGTAGCTGTATCTGTTCCATTAAAGTCAGCCTACTTTAATCTTGGTTTTCTGCCAGTGAAATAGTGGCTGCTCTTAGGCTTCTCTACACATGTAGTGAAAATGATTTGTGTGACAAAAAAAAGGTGTAAACGCTTGCACTATCAGAGAAGAATTTGCTATTTATTTCTGTATAGTTTTTATTTAAGACCACAGATCTTGGCAGCTGTCGGGGATTTAGTTGTTGTATTTTAGGTTGTATTAGTGCTGCATTTGCGTTACATTTCATATCCTTGTAGAAGCAGGTACTGCAACTGTTAACCCTTAACATGTGATCAGTGACACCAGGACTGTCATCTTATTGTACTTAGACTGAACAGATAAGCTGTTAAACATCTCTGGTGCTGAAAATTTATCTTAACAGCTTCAGTAGCTATGTAGAGTCAGATTTAGGAAGAATAAGCAGGCTTTTCTGTTTCTCCTTCCCCCCCACCCTCCTTACTCACTATTAAAGTTGTAACTTTGCAGTTAAGTCTCACTCTTCAGTAACTGTAGGCTGCTCTCTCAGTTTATAACATGAGGTCGGCTCCTTTGGAAAGAGACTGCTTGCAAACTTGAGTTTATTTGAACATGATGAAAGGAAAGATACAGTTTTTTGTTGCAGGATTTTAGTGGAAGGTTTGGACCTAGAACTTAATTACATTTATCTTGACTAGTCTGAAGGAATTAACTGAAAGTTTTAAAAAAAAAGGTTAAAGATTCCTTGAAAGGACATTGCAAATAACTTGAGATTAACATCTTTGTAAATGATTGACTGCTGGAGGATTTAGTCTTCAGTAAACAACATACGCACAAGCTCTGCTTTAAAACATTCTTCTTCAACCAGCTTCTGAGGCTGAAAGAAAAGTTAAGATGTTTTAGGGGCAACTCAAAAACCTGTAGACTAGATCTGTTTGTACATACTAACATTAGCCATATTGCAGCAATTGTTTTTCCAGGGAGGGTGGGGGATTGGGTGGAGCAAGCAAGGTAAGAATAACTGAAAAGTGCCTGAGGGTTTTCTGGCCTTGAAACAGGCATTTCTAAGAAATTAACTGCTAATTTAAATAATATGCACAAGTTAAAACTTGAGCTGTAGTCTGTCTGAATCAAGAGTATACTGCACAAAACCTTGTTCCACTCACATAATTCAGCATTTGGATTTTTTTTAAAGTTGAGGAGCTGCAAGTCAGGAGGCTAACAATATGTTGCTAAGGATTTTCTCTACCCCTCAACCACTACATGTTAAATGTAAATACTTGCATTACTAGATGTTTATTATAGACAACATTATACAGAAAGCAGAGTGGTTCTCTCTTGAAGAACTGTTTTGAGCCAGGAAAAGTGCATCGGAGGGAGCAGAAGAGCTGTCCCTAATTGTCTGCTAGTTTTAAACAAGAGATGGTGTCAGAAAACATGCATGACTATGACTGATTCAGTTGCAGCCATGAGCTCCTGCCAGTTTCCCATCTGAATGCCAGTAGATCCAGAACATAGAATAAATCACTTACTGTTCCATATTTAAGTAGTGTAGGCACTCCTGTTAGTTTCAGATTCTTCCTGAATTCATTGTTGGGATCTTTCCAGCTGTTGAGGAAGAAGGGGTTAAGCACAGCTTGTAGAGGTGGAGTTTGAAGTTAGCCTGTTAAAACTCCCTCAAAAGGATGATTCAAAGGTCTTTACCTCACACCTCCCCAACCCACTTCTGGAAGCAAGCATGCAAATAGTTCACATAAAGGATAGTGTAGACCTCAAAACTCAAAACTCAAAAAAAAAAAAAAAAAAAAAAAAGCTTGATTCCTTGCAGAAAAGGTCAGCTCAGTCAGTTGTTTCAACAAGTCAGTTAACCTCCAGTCCACAAGTTGTATTAGTTGTTGGCATTAAAACAGTTACTTACTAGGCTCTGTCTCCTACAAGGCAGTAGATGAATACAGACTCCTCAGGCATGTTATGAAGTTCCTTCCTCACAACCGGTTCAGCTAGAGAGTAATTTTTAAAATCTATTAGTAGTTAATCCTTTTACTGTGCTACAGAATCGCACAGATCTACTGCGACCAGCAAGCTGCTAATTAATGTTTTGTTTGCTTCAGGTAGAGATCTGTCCTCTTTCACCTGGTTATCCACAAGGGTTGCAATGCTCAACATGGAAGGGACTGGTCCTAGAACAAAGGCCGCTTGCTGCTTTAGCAGCTAAGAGAGACAATCCCTGTCTCAGCGGGTCGGTAAGCAGGGGCCAGTGCATCACCTAGAGAGGACCTGTGTTCACATTCTGCTGCCAGACACGGCCGCGCAGGTCACTCCTGCCTCGTGACGTACAGGCAGAGTTAATTAACTCATAACACCATTCACATCTAATTGCTCGCTGGGCCTTTGCGCCAGCCTGCGCCCAGCGCGGTCCGG